GAGATCCCTCACTATTGCTGATCTTTTCTGGCCGGCCATCTGATATTGAGTATTGAGCGAAGACAACTGTTAATGAAGGTCTGTAGTTTGTTTGAGATGCTCTTTATGACGCGCTGGTCAAGTCTCTGATCCGTATAGTGAGTAGCACTGACTGACTTCACATTGGAGTTGAAAATCCGGATATTATTTATCAGGCTGAGTGCTGTTGACCTCCACACAGACTTGAGAGTAATGAAGGTTTGTCTTGCTTTTCCGATCCTCGCTTCGATATCCTCGTCAGTTCCGTTGGCCTGTAGTTGAAATGATGCTTCTCAGGTAGAGGTAGGTAAAGGAGGTTGTTTCTTTCAGGTTCCTCCCATTTATGCTGGCTGATTGTTGTCTCTTGTTGTTGTTGATGTTGGCTAGGAATCTTCATCACCTCTGTTTTATCTATGTTCACTTGAAGTCCCATCTTTGATGCTTCTTCTGCCAACTTGTTGCTTTTCACTTGCATATCTTCCAGTTTGTGGGAAATCAGACATATATCATCGGCGAAATCCATATTGGTGACGTGCAATATGTATTTATAAATTCGGATCTCGTTCTCTGTGCTTGGAGTAGTAGGTTTGCACAGCCATTTCACAGCAATGAAAGGCTCTCTTTCTTTTTTCAATCCTGACTTCGACATCCTTATCTCTACCTTGACTTTTCCTAGTAGGTGCCTGAGATTAAGTCATTTAGATTTCCGTCGTCAATGATGGTTGATGCTTGTTGTTGTGCATTGGGTATTTTGATCACGCCTGTTTTCATATATTCACCTGAAATCCAGTCTCCTCTGTCTCTTCTTTCAACCTGTTGGTTTTCATCCGTAGATCTTTGTTTTTATGTGACATTAGACATAAATTATCCGCCAAGTCTGAATGTTCCACTGTCTTTTTGTCGGTTGAATTTATACCAGCCTTCTCGTTCCCTATGGCTCGTTGTATGACACCGTCCACTGCAATCAGCAATATCATCAATGATAGTAGGTAGTCTTGTTGTACTTATGTCATCACTTCGAAGGCATTGTCATATATTCAGACCGCTGAGATCCTGGACCTATCGCTGGTTTCACAAGATTAAGCCTAATACATCGAAGACTATGCGCTGTAACTGACGCGGAAAAACAGAAGACGTTTGGGCAACGCGATTATTTATTCTTCAAACGATAGCGAAACAGATTTACAATGGTTAAGCAGTGCTAAAGTCTGTACATAAACCTTTAATACAATCCAATCTTCTGCCAACCAGTACACAATAACACGATGACAGTTTTTTTTTACCTCCCACCAAATGGAGACCAGTTCGATTAAACAAACTATCGAATGTTCAACAGCTTTGATAGGCATTGTTGAGGTTTCCCCCATGAATGACTTCAAAAATGGGTTTATAATTATCTGGGCACTGTGTAGGCTTGAAGCACTTTCCAAACTATTTCCTGATCAATGCTTTTGAAGGTCTCTCTCAACTGCAATGAAACTGAGCTGGAGGGTTGTTTGCTAATAGATTCTTAATTATTTCAATTTACAACCAGTGACAATTAGACAATTATTGGATTTGAATAATAAACAAAAGTGGTCCTGGTCCTACTGAATTTTTGATTTTATTTTATAATACATAAATAAACCAGGAAGCTTCGACGGGAGGAGGAAAGTAATAATGAGGAAGAAATCTGAAGTCATTAGTAATTGAATTGCTTGATATCGGAAATCAAGTTTGAGTAATAGTCTTTGTAACGGGTGCTTTCAAAGCGACTCCTTAATTCATCTCAGAAACTGCAAAAGTTTGTTACAGTCCTTTTTGGTTTAGATATTATGCAGATATAATCGCATTACAATATAACAACATCAATTCCAAGAGCATAGTCCCAACAGGAACCGAATCCAGATCCTTCAGATTAGCTGTTGAGTTCATTACCATTCAGCTCACAGGACGGGATCCAGTTGTCCATGAGTTCTTACTTCCTGAATATTCGAGAACTAGACAACACCAGCATTGAGTGTCTGTCCTCATTCCTGACGACTGAGTTAGTTCCACCATTCCTCACTAGATTTACTACATCAGAAGAAAAATTACCATCTCCAGTGAAGATGCATTCGTGCAATACTGGTTAGGTTGTTGACATGCTGCAGTTTACTAGACATATTACTAGACAAGACGTGCACGACTCTCCAACTAATCAGTAACTCATTTAACCCTTAATTAATACAAAAAAAGACACGAATCAAATGGGTTGTGTGAAATTTATTTAGGAAAACAATTTCATGGACTAATCTCGGTAATGTGACTAATTCACTTACTCTGAGGATGTAGATGTCACCAGCACACTGAGTGACAGCAAAATGGTATTTAAGCCTGTTTGGATACGCACGACACGGAACTAACCATAAAACACGTGAAGCATGGTGAGCCGTGTTAGAGGTTTATTTAGTTGGTATTAAGTTAATACAGTGTGGTCTATTTCTCTTCTAACCGCAGATTGATTATGGGGCCAATTAAGGCGCATGACAGCGTCATATTCTTATTTCAATGAATGAGGAAATGCAGGCATTCTAGCTGCTTGTCTCCCATAAGGCATCACTGAGAAGTACACATCTGTGTGCAGAATGCATAACAAGAGTTCTTTCCGTTAATTTTTCAGATGCCGCTCCAGTATAGTCATGGAGTCCTTCTGTATACATTACTCTTTTGACAACACTGGTCTCCATGTGAGTAAATATCTCCTTGTATGTTCCGAATCAGAGACGGATAGGAATAGATGGTCTTGACTCTATTATTGTACCAGCAGCAGCCGGAGTACTTGGTGCTCGCGTTTCTGTTTCCGAAAAATCACGATAGCCACTCAGTTGATTTGAGTTTTGAAGACCCCATTGAGCACATCTTTAATCCCAGTAGCCAAGCTTATTTCAGAAATATGCTGCAAAATACTTCTCATATTCTCATTGTCGATGCAGACAGGTCATTGAAGAAGACAGGTTGCATTGTCTGAAGCACACTTTGCACTAGAAGTGGAAGAGGTCACTTTTTTACTTATCTGACCAGGTACCATCGTTTCATCTACAATTTGGACGGATGGATGCGAATGTCATAACCAGCCAGAATCCAAAAGACAAGACAGACCTTCATCACTCTGAAATCTATTAGGAAATCTTCTTAACTCAGAATAAAGAACAAAATTCGTATATTAAACGCTGATGTTAAGTCACTTCCTCTAAATCAGTCAGTAGAAACTTGACTAACGCGTCACGGAAAGCATTTCTAACAGATTTCTGGAGACTTTTATCAGCAACTGTCTTAATTAATTCCATTATTATTATTGTTCCCTTGGGTTCCTAGTGGAACATAGGGCTTCAACTGCACGTCTCCACTTGCCACTTCTGTCTTCCTTCTGCTGTACTTTTCACCTCCATCCATGTTAGTCCATACTCTTTCAACTCCTCTCTCTTCACACCATCTCCTACATGTCACCCTCGCAATGACGTCCAACTCACCACTTCCCTTTCGGCCTGGTTCCACTCGACCAATGGCCTGATGCGCGCTCGATATCACCCAGCGGCGAGCGAGTGTCCAATCCATCTCCACTTTCTCCTGCATATTTCTTGGGCGATTGGTTTGTTCCTTCACATAGTTTCTTGTTGGTGATTATTTCCGGCCCGGCCATCTGATCTTCAGTATAGAGCGAAGATAGTTGTTGATAAACGTCTGTAATAGCCTGTTGGTGGAAATATTCTTTGTGACCCACCCGCCAAGTTTCTCATCCGTTCCGTATAGAAGAACTGACTGACTTGACGTTGTTTGTATTGAAAATCCGAGCGAATTTTGTTGTTGATGCTGGCTGAGTGACGAAGATTTCCAGATTGGTTGTTTCAGGTTGATGAGTGAATGTGTTTCTCGCCTGCCTTCCCGATTCTCGCTCGATTTGACATCCTGGTCCGTTCCGACTTCCTGTAGTTAAGACAATGCTCATCAAATCCATACCGAAGATCAAATGGCTGGTCAGGAAGAATTAACAACAAGAAACTCTGGGAACGAATCAGTCAAGAATCTACTATTCCTTAAATATGAGGGAGAAAAGGAGACAGATCGGACACACACACAGAGGAGACCATTGGAGTGGGTGTTCGTGAGTGACATGGAGGACATGAAAGCTTATAAACAACTGTGGCATCAGATGAAGAGGACTGCAAAGAACAGTGTGAAACGGAGATGTGATAAGTAAGGCGCTTATGTTCCCCTCAGAACTCAAGCGAGGTATGTAGGGGTGTTATGTTTAAATGGCTTTAACGTGGATATATTCTCCTCCCCCCCATAGCAGCACTTGGTGTTTTACCACCATTATAAACAAAAGATGCTCAGATATTTCAAACTCAAAATTATACAACTTTTTCTTTTCATTAACCATCTGACAAAACTGTAAGAAAAATCAATCATTTTATATTTTTGAATGACTACAAATTTGATTTTACATTTCTCAATTACATGTCAGAAGTAAGCGTAATTTAAGTAATAATTGAATTGCCGTCATTTACAAAACAACAAAAAAAGACGCATAGATTAATTTGGATACTTAAATTAGTAAGCTAAGTTTAATTTGAATATTTTTTTGACACATTACAAATGCTAATTTATTAAAGGTCACATGCTGACTACTAGAGAAAACATAATAATCGCTTATTTAATAGTAACTGCGTATTGATGAATCATCCTTACAGAAAGTTTTGATTAAGTTTTAATTCAGTTAAGACACCCGTAAGTAATTTATTACACTTACAAACGCACTGAGAGATCTTCTAAAGAAGAAATTGATTGACACCAATACATACTACGATTTTAAATCCCGAGGGTCCCGCTTGCTGTTATAACTGTAGGGTATTGAATGAGGAAGTTTTCACCTTATTCTGTCTACGCCTGAACTAATCTGCCTATCTGCTTGTCGTACCTTCCGATTTAGTAAAGCACGCAAATATCAAAAGACAAAGGCTGGACTGTGACTGTGTATTGAAGTGCAACAACGAGAAAGAAAGCCATGGTATTTATACATTTTACAACAATATGGACAGCTAACAGCGTTTGAAATAATTTATCTTGATAGCCAATAACAAAGTGCGTGAGAGATGATAATATACCATATGTGCGAGGTTGACAGTCAGTAACAAAATGTGTGGGAATGATAATATACCATCTATACAAGATTAGCAGTCACTACCAAAATGTGTGAGAATGATAATATACCATATATACAAGATTAACGGTCACTACCAAAATGTGTGAGAATGATAATATACCATATATACAAAATTAGCAGTCAATACCAAAATGTGTGAGAATGACAACATACCATATATGCAAGATTAAACAGTCAATACCAAAACATGTGGGATCCTATCACTTGCGATACATGGATGGCCTTCCGAAGATACACAAAAAACAAGTTTCCTTGAGACCTATACTTTCGACGATCAACTTGCTCCAACATAAGGTTGCACGTTGGCTTGCGGAGAAGTTGGAACCCATTGTAAGCCGCTAGCCTTGTACACCATGAAGGAGTCATTTCATCTCACCGAAAGTGTGAACCACATGAACGTTTCTAATAAGTCCATGGTGTCATTTGATGTAACCTCCTTGTTCACAGAGATCTCAATCATTGAAACCATTAAGATCATTTATCAGCAGTTTGATGTTTTTCCACTCTCAATCTTGGAACTCAAACGCCTACTACTAATTAATGTGTACCATGGATGTGTGATTCCAGTTTGACAACACTCTTTACCTCCAAATAGATGGTGTAGCAATGGGAAGTCCACTTAGTCCTGTTCTAGCAGATATATTCATGTCCAACCTTGAAAGAACAAAGTTGAAGCATGCCATTGACGAAACAACTTCCTATTGTCGATATGTTGATGACACATTTATAGTGTGCAACAATGAAAGTCAAGCTTCACAATTACTCAGATTATTCAATGATGCACACACCAATATTGAGTTTACAATGGAACATGAAAATGATGGAAGTTCCATTACTTTGACATTTCCATGGGAAGCCTAGAAGACGGTAGTCTTCAGAAGTCAATTTACTGCAAGACTACATGGAAAGGACAATACCCACATTTTAATAGCTTTTGTTCAAATAGCTTTAAACACGGACTAGTCAAGACTCTGTACTATAGAGCGAGGAGAATATGCTCTATAGAGAAATTAGAAGAAAAGAGCAATGGGTACCCTCAAAGGTTCATCAACAAGTATCGAAGATCTGAAGTCACAAATGTAAAAAAATCACTGTGGAAAAAAAGCCAATCAACTTTCAGCTCGATTATAAAGGTGAAAACATTGCAGCAACGGTCAACAGAAGGCTGAGTACATCACTAACCAGAGCCTATACTGCAGCTAAGCTCGTCCCCGTCTATCGAACAACTTGCTATTTGGTGCAATCAAAAATCGATAGGTATCCTTCTCACGTTAACTCCAACTGTATATACACATTTACATGTATCTTCGGGAGCAGTTACATTGGAAGGACAGAAAAAGAAGGGCATATCTAGGATTTTCTGAACATGTACCAAAAAGCTTATGTCTAAAGGGAACAAGTGCTTTAAACAGTGCCATCACCAGGCATCTCCTCGACACGGGTCATGAGGTGGACGTCGAAAAGTCGTTCAAAATTATCAATAGTCAGGCAAAAGAGCTCAATTCTCCTCAAGTTTGCTGAAGCCATTTCCATTAGGCACCTGAAACCTGATTTGTGCGTCCAGAAAGAAGCGGTTATCAGTCTTTCTTTTCCGTGCTGGTAACTGGATATTTTCATCTCTCTTTCATCTGAATGCGTAATGCTGAAATGTTTCCATTGTGTATGATTATTATTGTTCGGAATAGTGTTTAATATTGCATATTTATATATGTGTATATTTTTCGTGTATGAGTATATTGATCGATTGATTTTTGTTTAAACCTAACTCTGTGCAAGTATGTTAAAATTGTTTTTATAGATATATTTAATAATGCCTTTGGCCTGTAAGCAGCTGACGAGAAGACAACGAAATAAGCAATGATGGTAGCGGTTTATTCTGTAAAACTGTAGTTCTTGCTTTGTTCAAATGCATCAAGGGGAATAAATGCATGAAAGAATATTCTTTTCGAGAAATTGATAAATATGATCTGCATCTGTAGGACAGTAATAATTACGAAAATATTCTTATTAATAACAACATTAATACTGTTTCAAATGAAATTGAAACAATCAATCAATCAATAATATCGACCGTATTATATTTTTAAAAAAAATCAATAAGGAAATGATAATATGCGTCACATATAAAACTAAACTAAATATAGTAGCAACTTTATCTCTTATTAAACACAGACTGGTCGGTTTCAACATAGAACTTTTCTCTACTCCAACCTGGTCATATGTCAGCGAACATTCTCCGTCGAGGAAGGAGATGTAGCTTCACAACCTCACCGACTAACTTTCCTTCCTTACCTAATACTCTACTCCTAACCTCAATATCACTCACCTTATTATGCTGCCTAACACATTAGATAGAACGCAGAAACCTGTGACCAAAGACAACTAGTCAGACTTTTCATGTCTTAAACATTCAATGACCATGCCTCACTCACAGCCGTAAAGAAGGATGGGGCAAACTGCTGGACAGCACGCACATCCTTTGATCGATAGTTGGTCGGATATCACGGCTATGCCAGATGATGAGCTTTTTCAAGTGTTGGTTTGTAGGGATTTGGTTGGTTACAGGATTTCATCATGAGCTGACATTAGTTAGAGAACCATTGGAAAACCTGGGAGTACTGGACAGCTGTTTCGTCAGCCTAGTTTGGGACTCTTCAGAAGTACGCACCCATCTCCAGGGTTCGAACCCAGGACCTTCTGGTTACAAGGCGAGCTCGTAAACCATTAAGCCACTGGGACCTGATCCAATGGCCAGCCCATGAATTCTAACTTCCGCCAATTCACGATATACAGCAACCGCTAACCAATGTCTTCGGCGGGTATTTGTCCTCACACCCGACCGGCTGCACTCTACTGGTCACGACTTCTTACTAGAACTCCAGGTAACTACCTACCTGAACAGGGGCAAATCGCTAGTGAGCATCTCATTGATATTCAAGTGTTGGTTTGTAGGGATTTGATTGGTTACAGGATTTCATCATGAGCTTTTTGTACGCCTAATGAGATTCAGTCAGCAATCAGCCTTTTGGGGCTGATACAACTTCCTAAAAATTAAGTGAAGCGCTCAGCACGCTGCTCCACCAGTCCACTCCTTATCTTGAATCTAAGAATCGATGTAGTCCAGTCATGTTGCGTCATTTTACATGTGGCAGGAGAAAATTACACGGCAAATATTCGAAGATTTCTGCTGAAGATGTTCAGAAGACTCTGCATTTTATCAGCAGCTTCACCTAGGAGCGAGGACTATATCATCTGTACATTCTCAGTTAACAAGATTATCCCCATGGTAACAAGTCAATCCCAGGTTCGTTGAAGTCAGTTAGGATCAATTCCCTTAGTACGTCTATGCTGAAATTAAATGGAAATGGTGATAGAGGGCGTGCCTGACGGACACCACTAGCTGTCATCACTTCAGATGACAACTCTCCGTTAGCTCTTACACGACCTTGCGAGTTTGAGTAGAGTGCATTGATTAGTGCAATGTACTTTCTCGGAACTTTCTTCAGAGTAAAACATTACCATAGTATCTCTTGGGCAACAGAGTCAAATCCGGCCTTCAGATCAAGAAATATAACAACTGCTGAACTCCTGTAAGTATGGCAATTTTCCAAAATCTGTCGAAAGGTGAAAATATAATCAATACACCCTCCTCCTGGTCTAGGCACTGTCTGGTTTTCTCGTGTTCGTTTCTCCTAAACACCACTTGATCTATGCACGATTATTGAACCTAAATCTTTAGTCAAGCTAATCCCTCTATGATTATCACAGAAAGATTTGTCGCGCCTTCTTGTATCCTGGAATAATCAATGGCTTACACCAGTCCAGTGGGACTATCTCTGATTCCAAGACACTGTCCAACACCTTATTTAGCCCAGGCAGCTGTCTCTGTCACCGCCGTCTTTAAACACGTCTGGAGTCATTCTATCAGATTCTGCTGCTTTGCCTCGTTTCAAATTAGAGACAGCTATTGCAACCACCTTAATTAATAGAGTTCCAGTACAGTATGTTACAACATAAAATAAAATTATACTGTTAAGAAATCACAATCCTCTAAAATGACCAGCTATTATTGATGGTCGCAACAGTAAACAAATTCATATGATATTACCAGTATGGTATAAGCGCCTGGAATCAACTTTACATTTGTCAGCACTTATTTCAATGCATTTGTAAGACCAGGTAATGAGACCTGTCATTCATATTTGGATCAATTCAATCTCAAGGACACTAGGCTGTTTAGACTACAATCTACATATCATTCAAGTGTCCCATCTAAAAAATAATCGGTGAAGGTAACCTATTGTGACCAAAATCACAATGACCTTGAACAACCAATCAGAACTCAGACGCGAAAAGTCACCTGATCGATGCGCTATACTCAACACATGTATTCATTGAGGTGGCTGGAAATCATGGTGCCCTGGGATCCATTGAAATTCCTGATTTGTAATTATTAGTGTTCTCTGAGCTGGTTGGTTTAATTGCGGAGCTTTCGTCGTCCCCCTTCTCGACAACATCTTCAGCGCAATATTTAGCATAAAGTGAAATGATTTAAATTTCTATTGACTTGGATTTTAAGCTTTCTGATCACCTGATTTACTTTTTATTAGTTGGTAGATTTAGTCTATATTAACGTGTTTGTTAATTGCATTTTCGTTTGAGTACCAGGCTTCTAGGAATTCGCCGACTGCACTTTTGGTGTTTCCGCTGTCTAAGATTTCGACATTATCCCCAATCAAATTCATGTCCATAATTATCTATATGCATTGATATGAAAGAAAGCATATCATGTCTTTTCACAGCTGATTTGTGTTCTTGGATTCTGATTCGAACGGGACGCCCACTTTGGCCAATTTAATGCCTGTTACAGTTCATACAATTTATTTTGTAAATGGTATTAATTTTATCTCCTTTTTCTGTTGGATCTTTCGGTTCGCATAATATTGAATAAAGAGATTTGATTGGCTTGTGTGCTATATCTATATCAAACGGTTTCAATATTCTAGCTGTTATTTCAGAGATATTTCTCATGTATGGTAGGATGAATTTTCTTGTGGTCTTTGATGATGGTTTCTTGTTGGTGTTTTGATTCGACTTTAAACACTTTTTGATTCTTTTCTCTCAACCACCCCCAAAAATCCTTCGACGGAATTGGTGTGGCTGCTTGTGATTCGATTCACAAGATCGAAAGAATGGTTGACACGATGGTAAATGATAACCGAAAGATGACAGTTGGTTATATCTACTCCATTTGTCAGTGTGCATAATCGTTCCTGGAATTAACAAGCTTTACATAATTAGAATTAATACTCCAATACCTCTATCGGGTATTGTCCCCATAAAACCTTTGCATAGTGTTGTCTAACTTAGCTTATTATACCTTTTTATGAGGACAGTTCCATCAATATGAAAGATTACCCCTTCTCTTCTGAGGCTGGCGGTAATCCTTTCTAACTTCCATGATATTATGTCTTTACAATTTTAATACCATTATACTATAGAGACCAGGCTATTTTCCGTCTCATCTAATGTTGCTCTTATAGACCTTTGTAAAACCCATGATCTTCATAATCTGAAGTTCAAGACTTCCATGTGCGTCGGTGGCACAGCAGATCATGCACTTGGTCCGGGGTTCGATCCCCTGCCGACGCACACCTGATATCTATAGTCGGCCGGCAAAATTTGGGCTACTGATATCACATGCTGAAAATGCTATAATTGTATCAAAACTACAGTGTGGAATCAAGCTATAATCAAAAATAATAAAAAAAACAATCTCGGTGGGTGCGTACCATTGATGAGTCCCAATCATTCAGAGGAAACATCTGTCCTGCACTCCCTGTAACTGGTTTTCAATGTACTTCTCTAACTGTTATTAATCCATAGACAAATTTGAAAAACAAATCAAATCCATTATGGATAAGATTTTATTTGGATAAATCACACAATGTTGTATAGTAATATACAGAATATAAGTTATCCACTGTTATACCATATAAGGAGGAGACATCTGAGACCCTATGTAGGATTTTTAATAAAGCAGGAATTAGGGTGGCATTCAAACCCTCCTACAAAATCACTCAAATAGGACAAGCTCTGTAGGTTAGAGGACCCTGTCGGCTGACCCAATTAGACAAAATAATAAAATTTACAAAATACCCTGCAATGACTGTGAATGAGGTCAACTACATAGGTCAAACTAGTAGATAGGGGATAATCAGATTTTCGGAACATAAGAATTTAGCTAAGGTAAGAATGGTTGACCCCACCCGCGAAGATAAGTAATTTAGAAAAAAGCCCAACAATTGCACTGCATGCATTAGCATACAATCACACAATAGGGGGGAGGTGGGATAGGGTTAAGATTCTAAAAAGTAATCTATGTAGTTGGAGACAGAGAGAGTTTGATTACTGAATCCTGGTTCATTGAGTCTACACCCAACACACCACAAGCAACAGAAATCACTCAATGCAAATACCAGAAATATGGAAGATATTATTACCACCAATCACTCAAATCAGAGGAGGATAATAAATAATCTCAAAATTCTATTTCAATTCAAGCATATCATAACATTCTAACAAGTTACTTATTATGACTATGAACAAACACTCGTCTTATTTCCCATCTGATTGTAATTGATCAATAACACTCATATTATTATTATTTCTGAATGTACACTATCCTATATTGATTTTTATTCAAATGTCTAATCATCAATTCCACTCATGTGTATAAATGAAGGAAAAAGTTGTGTGAGTGAGTAACTTGATATGATTATGAGTGGCAATAATTTGTACTCGAAACGTGGACGTCATCAGTTAATATTACTGTATAACAACACTGTATGATTTATCAAAATAAAATCTTATCCATAATGGAGTTATACTCTACCACCACGGTGCCCAAGTTTTATACTTATATCAATCCAAATCAAATCCCTACAAACTAACTGACTAACGCTTGAAAAAA